TTTAATTTTAATTATAAATAAATAAAAATAATAAAATTTAAATTAGTAACAGTTTAACTACTAAAATTATAATGTTATAATGAAAACAGAAGAGTTGCTTAGAAAAACATGGTAAAAAAATCATTTTAAATTAATAATTTATATTATTAGGTAAGATATAAGAAATGATTTATACAACATCATTGAGTAAATTCTAAAAATCATTTGAGAGAGATCTAATCTCGATTGATTGATGTGTAAATCGATTAAAAAATACTGTTTATTATTGCTTAAAAAGAGAAGAAGAGGAAGAAGAAGAAAAGAAAACAGAAGAGTTGCTTAGAAAAACATGAAAACACACGAATTAAAAGAATCAAGGAAGGATCGTAGGCTCTTGCGTGGGGGGCCATCAACTCACGGAAAGCTATTGGTAAGCCCAGAGGACGAGGAGCCCATGATTGATTTGAAAAGCGAAATTTCTCTTTGCCTGCTTTGTCAAAATAATTGTCTTGCACGGCTACCACGTGCATCCCAGTTAAAGTTGGAATATTCATATTATCAAAAATAATAATAATGATAATAATTAAACACTATCGTCACTCTCCATCATTCATCAAAATCACTCTGATTAAAATGTGTTTATGCTGGTTAAGGTTAAAGTCGTTAAGCTAACCAGACTCCCTTATCAAACCTTCTCAGAAAACGAAAAGTAAAATAAGTATCAATTACAATGAAGTTATGGACCTTTCCTTTAAATATAACTTTTGAATAGCGTTTGATTTCTATTCTGGGACGAAAAAAGACAAGGAGATTGTGAAAATAAAATAGATATTTTTTTATTTTTTATTTAAAAAATACAAAGAAATTTATTTTATATTTATTTCTATTTCTTCAATTAAATATGATTTTGTCTTTGTTTTGATTCCATCTGTCCATTCAATACTGCCTGGAGGGCAAGTATGAAAGGTTGCTCCCTGCTCGCGGGGATGCTTTCACGGTGGCCTTTCTGAGGTTCATTGAATGAATATAAATAATTAAATGAGTTGCGGTTCCCTAGGTAGCCAGAAAGAAAAATAGCTTTCTCGAGTAGAGAAAGGACGAAATAATTCTTAGATTATTAATTAATATGATTTCTATTTTATATTTATTTATTTATATTTCTTCAATTAAACAAAACAGGATAAAAGGTTGCTCCGTGCTCGCGGGGATGCTTTCAAGGTGGCCCTTCTGAGGTTCATTGAATGAATATAAATAATTAAATGAGTTGCGGTTCCCTAGGTAGCCAGAAAGAAAAATAGCTTTCTCGAGTAGAGAAAGGACGAAATAATTCTTAGATTATTAATATGACTTGGGGGTGTTTGCATCTGCTATATTTTAGTTAATTATAATCAAGGTTAAAATATGTTGGATAACTTTGTCCTTCGAAGGGCACACAGAATCATAAATTATTGTTAGACCTGGTTTAGAGTTTAGATTATTAGGTTAGTCTATGAGTTATAAGGTTAATTTAAATAATTATTTTGTATATAATAATACTTTCTAATTTTTTTTAAAATTCTTTTAGAGTTAACTCAACCGAGTTTTATTCGGTTGAGTTAAATTTATCAAGTTATGAATTAACTTAAGAAGTCACACTGGTTTTCGTGTAATTAATATCTAACATTGTCACAATCAAAATCTAGATCCCAAAATCAATTTATCAAGCCATATTCAATAGTTTCCCTCGACATGATTGATCTTGCTCCCGCTTAGTTTCCCTCGACCCAATCTCGTGGTATATTTTCTTATAGTGGCTCGGTGAAGTATCTTGGATTTGTGTTTCGAAGTCTTTCCCACAAATCAAAGCCGATGAGTGGATGGATTGGAGTGTTATAGCGTAGAGGCACACTAGATGGTGTGAAAGATTCGGATTCCGCTCTAAACAAAGGTTCCCAACGTCCCTTTTACACTACCAATTTTCTGGATAATAATAGTGGAGTCTTGCTTAGCTTATTCGATAAAATCAGTCCACGTCCTCTTGAATAAACAAAATCCTAGCCTACACAGACTAGTAAGAAAAGGAGTTTAACAAGGCCTGCTGGAGACAATAACTATAAGCTTGTGGCACTCCTGTTGGTCCTAGATGATGAAGATCAGCTGGGAAAATCATTTTTAATTAAGGTATTTATCTGTCACGGGCAAAAGCAATACCTTGTAAAACCAAGCTTCTAAGCATTTTTTTAGAGTATAAATAAAGGAAAAAATTTACATATTGTTTTGTTTAATAATACGTCTTATTCATAGGCAATACAGTGAGACTGTTGTTAAAAACAACACCTAGTTTTTTAATTAAGCTGGATGACTATCAATTAGATTTAATTCTAATCCTAATAGTCGTGTTGTAACCCAACTTAATTATGTCAATAAAATCAAATTTCATAAGTCCAAGTGTTAAAATAAAAATAAATAGTCTTAATGGCAGCTTTAATTCCAAGTGTCCCTATTTTACATTATAAATTATATACAAAAATTAATATCGTGATATATGATGTTTTTTAAAAATATTTTTTACCTCAAAATATATTAAAATAATTCTATTTTTATATTTTTTAATTTGAAAATCAACATATTAAAATCATAAAAAATACACTAAAAAACATAAAATTAATATTTTTACATGTCTGTCGCATTTTTAAAACACAATTTCGTATCCCAAAACGATCATTTTACTACAAAGCTCGTTATCCTTGTCGGACACAAATGGCTTTCGAACTAAAAAGAGTTAGAAAGCAAATCATCACATAGTTTTTAAAGAAGGCTAATTAAAAAAAATGATAAAAAAATAGTTATGTTTTAAAAAATAAAAAATTAATAAAAAATAACATTTCCTAAGAAACGTTGTCTTGTGTAGTTTTTTGCATATCATTATTTGTTTAGTTATTATCTCTATATATATTTTTTAGATTAGGTCCCTAATATGAAATTGAAATTAACTTGAGAATTAATTAATTTATCATTTTTATTTTTTGTTTTGGGCCTTCAAAACCAAAACTAGCAAGGTGAGAAGATTGGACTTTAAAGTCTATTCCATTCATTTTTTAGCTAGGACTCTTTGTTAGGCCTTTTCGATTTTAGCATTATCCAGCCTAGTTTGTTTTCTTTTTTCTTTTTAAAAAAAAAACATTTGAATAGTGTTTTTTATTAGCTAATCATTCTTGTGCTGGAATAATAATAGAAATGGAAAAAAAAAATGAAGGGATGTATAGCTCAATAAATCAGTTCTAAATTTACTTTTGATGAAAGTTATTAATTTAAATTTTATAAATTTTAAGGTCATTATAAATTTATATAGTTAGAATTTATAAGATTAGTTGAGATGTGTTTAAATTAATCTGAATATTTTTATTAATAAAAAAATAAAAAAATTATTACAAAACTTAGATAAGTCTATGCTGAAATCATGTTAAGCAAAAGTGGAATCTCTAAAATTAAAAAACATATTTACTCAAAATAGATCCATTTAACTTCCCATTAAAATATATGGTTTATTTATTAGCCATGCCCATAATATATGGTTTGGTTTTACGATGTAATCTCAAGTCATCATTAGAGTTATTGCATTTCATAAAAATTTTAACGAATTTATTATTAAATAGTTTATAATTGAATCAGCATAAAAGAAATAAAAAAAAAACTTCATTTTGACAATTATAATTTATAATTGTCACAATCACCACCTAATTTCAACGTATTACCATCTCAAAGAAGAAAAAAACCGAAAGGGTACCCGAAAATATCTCCAATGCTTTTTTGTATTTATTTCCATTTTCTCTTAATATCGTTTCGAATCAGCAACCATTTGGCGGAACAGAGCCACCGAACCGAAACCAACTTTGGCATCTCCGCATCTCCTCAAAAGCATCTGCTTCCCTTCCTTTTCCGATTCCCTTGAAGGATCCTCCCTCTTTAAATTTCTAGTTCTTGATTTATTGTATGGCCTTCGACTTGAGAGCTTGAAAATTCTTTTCTTTTATACGCAAAGAACATCATCATCATCATCATCATCTAGCTATTCAATTTCAGGTACCATCTTCTGTCTTTGCTTTAATCCTTTCTTGGTTCTTCTCTACCCCATTCTTATATATTTCTTATTTTATTGATTCCATAAAAGACGTTAGCAGCTTAGACTTTCTTGAATTCTTATTCTGTACGATCCCATTTCTTGATTTTGAGGTTTGCCTTGAAAAAAATACGGCTTTTGATATATTAATTAGTTTATTTATTTTGACGGCAAGTGCGCATTTGTTTTAACAGAGGATGG